GGTGGTTTTCAAAATTTAGAGACACCTAGAAAATGCTGATTATTTTGCCATGTGATTCCGATACCAGGTTTCTAATCCTTTGATATATACTGCTACCTCTAATACAGGTAGACGTAGACCTAGTCTCTACATGATAAAAGTGAGACTCAAATAGTGATTTAGTAACCTGTCTAACATCACAGCTCAGCGCTTTAGCACAGGACACTGTTGCCTGTCTTCTAGGAGGGCAAACAGCTTACGTTAAGGCGAGATACCATGCGTGATGTTTACCGTGTGGCTCACATGTGCCTTTCTCATCGTAGGGGAGTGCACACAGTCTTCTACAGACAAAAAATTACTCAGAAGTATGCAAAAACTGTCGTGAAGCATATAAAACTCTGAGTAGTCTGTACTATGAAATGCAAAAAATGAATGAACTTGAGAATAAGGCTGAACCTGGAACACATTTATGCATTGATGTGGAGGATGCAGTAAGTACTTTGCTTCTTTTATGACATATTTTGTTTGCAGTGTTGTCGAATGTACCGTCAGTAGTAGTATCCTTCTTAGAAGTATCTTGGAACTGCATATTTTATCTTCAACAAGAAATAACTAGTAAAATTTTAGTATATCCTAGGCTGTCAAACTAACATGGAAATTAATCAGGCACTTCATAAGTGATTTGGTCCATTTAATTTTTTTATTTGAAAATGTGTGGCCTTTTCAGATATGTGGGCATTGTTAGGTGTTGTATTTCAGTTTATTATGTACTTGTTCCTGATTGAAGAAGTTTTTAGGTTTTACTACAGTGTCTTTCAGAGGCCACTCATCACTTCCTATTCTATTGCTTTATGTCTTTATAGTTATTACCATCTGAAAGTATTTATTTGTTTATAGTCTGTCTTCCCTCACTAAAATTTAAGCCACATGAGGACAAGGACCTGGGCTTGCTTGTTTACCATTCAGTATTTAGGACAGTTCCTGGAAATAAAGGCCTTGGTAAATATGTGTTTATTGATTGAATGAGTGACAAAAACTGTTTTTCTTTGTATAGCCTGCCTTTACATGGGGTACCACTAGATGGCAATCATGTCTTTTTAGGCAATATGATGGCTGGGCATTGTGTGTGTTTGTGGTAACTGACATTGGCACAAAGTAGAGAACTTGAGGTCAAACTTGGCAAGCTTAATGGTTGAGAATAATGAGTGTGAATTATCACATAAGCTCATTAGGCTGATAATATTTAGAATGGTAAAAAGAACTTAAAATCGATGCACTATAAGGATTTTTTTTGTTTTTACTGCTCCATTCCAATTGCCTTGAATAGTACCTGGCTTTTAGTAGGCTCTCAATAAACAATAAATTGGCTGGGCACCTATGCTCAGTGGTTAGGGCACCGGCCACATGCTCTGGG